CATTAACTTAACCATTAACTTAACCATTAACTTAACCATTATAAGCACCATATTAACCCAGCATATTAACCCAGCATAGGAAAAATGGCTTGTGCCTTGAAACGCTCTGAGCCTCACACGTCAGAGGACGTGGTCAATTTGCCATGACCTCGAAAAAGTTCAGGCGCCTCGGCAACCAGAAACCCAAATGGGGAGTGGAAGATAGACAAAAAAATAGAAAATCCAACCATTTTTAATAGGTAAACATAGGTAAACCATCTAGAAATTGGCCATTTTCCTTGGCGATGTTAGTTTACCAGAGGGTAATATATGGTTTTACCATGTTTGACATGCTTTAACTATCAATAATCATGAGAACATGTATGGAAAACAATCGTGAGTTCATGGATTGAAGGGGAAATCTTCACCGGAAACTGGCTGGTTTTATACCGTCAAATTGATTGGGATGTCCACTTAAAATGTTCCCTTCAACCAATCTAATGAACCATGGAAGAATCGGACGGCTACCGTCAAATTGATTGGGATGTCCACTTAAAATGTTCCCTTCAACCAATCTAATGAACCATGGAAGAATCGGACGGCTTTGGACGGTTTTGGCCAGTGAAAATCTGAAAAAAGAGGAGTTACCCCTCTCTTTGCATACAAAATAGGACATGTACGCCAGCAACATTGCGAGATCATCTACCCTGTGATCATGGCTTCAAAAGGAAACCACTAAGGAAAAATCACCTCAGGCGTTGCTCCAGTGCCTCTGAAAACATGGTCAGGTTTGGAGATACCAGGACCATTTTGGTGTCACAACTCGAGCCCGAGCTGGTCCAAAATTGCACCAAGTGGCCATCCAAAAGATTGAACCCGCCACCGAATTCTGGGCCGAGGCGAAGTCCGAGAAAGAACATGACTATACACATCATCAATGGGAATTTCAGGATCCTAAAATGGAGGTACTGTACCATATAAGGCCATATTTTCTGGGGATATTCCCTTACATATGCCTTACATAGGCCTTATATATGGTAGGTACATGTAGGTACCTCCAATTTAGGTTCCTGAAATGGCCATTGATCATGGGGGGTTCCTAAGTCATGGGGCTACCCCAAGAGCTGGAGTGCTTATTTCCATGGGAACATCCCCCCCCAAAAAATGGATGAAAACTGGGAGTACCCCCATGACTTAGGAAACCTCCAAGTGACAACTAGTTCCTATGACTTCTTTGGGGGTACCACTAACTTTCACTAACTAACATCATCCATTTGTTGGGCTTGAAAACCATGGGAAACCATCCAGCTATTGGATGAAAAGTACCCGGGTACCCCCATGACTTAGGAAAGCGCCATATGGCTATGGATCAATACCTATAGATACCATTTTTAGTGGGATGAACATCCATTTACCACCTATTTTGATGTTCACCAGGGGTACAAGGTTTTGACACACTGCCATATCTGTCGTTGAACCCACAGCAACTCACCCGCCTCTAACATGGACTCACCGGGTTGGACCCATTTGGAGCAGCCGAAGTCCGCAATCTTTACCTCACATGACACACACCCCGTGCCGGTGCCAGAGGTGAAACTTTTATAAAAACCATGGGATTTAAAAATCCTTATAAGTTATGAGAAGTTGGGAGTAACTAACCACTATAACTAACCACTAGAAACTCTTAAACTATATTTATTATTGCTTGGGATATTAAACCCCTTTAACTATAGTCTTATAGTCTGTTGTTTCTATCCATTTAGTTCACTGGAACTGCACTTCCAAGTAGCCATAATCATGAGATCTACAACCTTCCAATAACTGGCTTCATGGTGGATATATCGAACTATAATGATCCATCATATACAGTATCCATCATATATCCATCATATATCCATTATATATCCATCATTCATATATCAATGAATGGCTTAATAATATCTACTATTATGATATTAATGGCTTAATTAATGGGGGTTAATATGGCTTAATAACTAACATCACCATCACTCAGCGATCACTGTGTAGTGTGAGATAACCCCACTTAATATATTCCATGGCAAAAAACACATATTCCCTGAATGGGGCTCCGAAATGAACAGGACTTGGAAATTCCAGTGGCATGGTCCCGCAGTGACAATTACAATATAAAATCCCCATAGATAGCGCCCAGATCCTCCACAACGCCAGCGCCCAATTTTCAGTGGAAGAGGCATCTCCACTGTGCGTCAACAAAAGGTTTGCACCTGCGTCTCCAGAATGGAAAACTGAACACCATTGATGTACCAGTACCAAATGTATCCGGAGGTGTCCATAAACGGGGGTACCCCATAGCTGGATAGTTTATAAGGGAAAATCCATCTATAAATGGATGATGACTGGGGGTACCCCTGTTTCAGGAAACCTCCAAATGACAACTAGTTCCTATGATTTCTTGTGAGATTGCTTTGAAGCCATCGGACATGAGGAGGTTCGGATCTTCTGACATGTCGTTGTTCAAACAGAAACAATATCAATTAAGATGATAAACATTTATGGAACATCTACATCTATTCGAGGGTTTCTATAATGGGGGGAGCCATCATCCAATTGGTTTTCCGATTTGTCCACTATAAAACATTATAAAACAACTATTTTCCAATTGGATCCCCCATTTGTGGACACCGGGTATAGTCCTCAGATGTCTACCTTGGAGCCAGCCGTTCCACCGGGGGGCATTTCAGATCTCGATGAACCACTGGAGGACTTCGGGAGTGCAGGTAGACGAGTCCGGAAACCAACTGCTGGGTATATTTCCTGCAGCGCAGGTCATGGGCGAAGTTACGAAGTTGGTTGGTTTAATATCTATATATAACTAGATACTAATTATAGATATTTATAGATGATGTATCTACCATTTAAATCCACTTATAGTTAGTTCTTCAAACAAAAACAGCCATCCCATGAAGTACCACACCACAGACGTCATGTTTTTCTCGTCCCCCAATTCAATGTTGTCTTCTGAATTTTGTGTTTGGCGGCCTTCAAAAAAAAGAGCCATTTCTGTTGATGATGCTCGGCACTTCCGATCACAACATTGAAGCTGGGGGTTGTGGGGGTAAGTTGCTGGTATCCATGTAGTTTCCTGTGGATGGCTGTTTTTTTTGCAGAACCCGGTAAGTTGGTTTAATATCTAACTGTAGACTATAGATACTATAGATGTATCAATGTATCTACCATTTAATCGTTGGTGAACACCTATCCAGCTGGTGAAAAACATCTGCAAGACACCACCGAAAACCTTCCGCCACCATGGTGACCCCACATCATTTTCAACTGGACTTTGATTTTCTTCAATGGACCATGGACTTTTATCATGATTAAAAACATGACTATCACCCGACGCTGCTGACCATGTCCTTCAGTTCTTCGGTGATTTTAAACACGACTCTCCGAGATTCTCCGAGCTACCAGCTTACCCGTGGCCATCTTTAGCAAACCAGCTTACCCTCCGGGTGTCAAACATAGCAACCACGGGAAAATCAACCATTGAGTTACCCATGATTTTCCCAGCTAATCCAGCAACAAAAACCTCCAGTTTTTTAGATGTTAAAGGGGATTTCCCAGCTGCCCATGTTTGATGACACGGCAGGGTAAATCCATGAAAATATCCTATCATTTTCCCATTATATATTGTCCATTGATATCCCATTGTTATCCAGTCTTACTACAACCAATCAATTTTCCCATTCTGGAATATTACAGTATCATTATCATATGAGCCATGTTCTAAATGTCTTACATCCTGGCACCAAATAAGGAAATGCTTAGCCATTGCTTACGTTTTGCTTACGCGCGCACAGGTTTTGCTTACGCGCATATCTTTTCTTACGCGGAGCTTACGCTGGCTTACGCGCACCACAGTTTTGCTTAGGCCACATCCTTACACCGGGCCCTTTGCTTAACATGAACACAAGGGTTTAGAACGTGGCTCATATAATTATTTCATATTATTTCCATCTTTCCTATGCTATCGTGTGCCATTGGATTGTCCATTATCCTTTCTTTTGGCACACTCATCATCACATTCCATCACGTCCTCAACAACTCCTCGCTGACCGGCCCATAGGTCCGGAGCTGCCTGGATCGGAAAAACGTCTGGATCCCAAGCTTTTAATACGAACGTTAAATAAGTGGATTACCCTCTGGGTATGTCAAAATAGCTATTGAAAATGGCCATTTATAGTGGATTTTCCCATTAAACATGGTGATTTTTCCATTGCTATGTTAGTTTACCAGAGGGTAAGGTTTGTTATTATGAACATTGTCTACTCATTGTGGATATCAATTTAAAAGTCATTTAAACAGTCCATAAAAGTCCAGAATCGGATATATCTGCGGTATGTGGAAACTACACAAATAAGGTAATGGTTGTATACCAATGTCTCTCAAGCCAAAGCAAACAACGAGGGAATTGCAGTATAGCTGTCTCCCCCAAAAAAAGGAAAACAACACCATTAAATGAATAGAGAAGAATGGTAGGATAGGACTCTTCTATCCTTTTTTGGGCCCCTCTGCACACTTTGACCTACCTTCCAAAAAACGTGGATACAGTGGATACATGTGTCAATTGTCTCCAGGGTTGCGGTTTGCAACTGATCCCAAACTGGAATGTGGCCATGAAACTAAACAGCCTGAGGAAAAACGCACCTGTAGCTACTATGGATGGATTTAAGGGAACATTTTGCAGTTTACCACGTTTTAGCCTCAAATATACATTTTTCATGGGCTTTCATGCATAATGTGGCTAAAACAATAAATAAACCA